CCCCTGTCTCGCTGGGGGCTCCAGGTCCCACCCCGCGTTGTGCCAGCCGCAGCCCCGCGTGCCACAGCCTGCGCACCCGTGCCAGGGGTGGCTCCTGTGCGCTCCGCCCAGAGGCACATTGCCCGTCACCCTCGCGCCGCCCTTTTGCGTGGCCTCGGGGCTCCGACCTTCGTTGTCTGCAGACCGGGCCCTGAGCTCGGTGGGGCACCGCCAGCCCAGGGCCCAGACGACACAGCTCTGTCCACGAAAAGAGGGAAGATGGCGTCGGGCGCCTGTCCCCGCCGGGATCCTGGGCCCCGTGCACCTGAGGAAGGGCCGGGGGAAAATCCGGAACAGGAACTTGCACGAGGAGCCAGGCGCTGTCGCCGGCTGCCACCTGCGCAGTGCCCCGCGGGCCCGGCTGGCTCCACCCGGCAGGGCGCGGGCCACTTACCGTTGACCCGAGTCGCCGCGGCGTCGGCGCTTGTGGCCCCGCCGCCCCCCTGGTGACCCGGCCCAACCTGCGCCGAGGCTTCAGGGCTTGTCTCTCTCTCCGGGTGGGTCTGGCCCCCGGGATGCAGAACGCTTAGTAAACCGTTGGTTGCTGCTGCAGTTGGCGCTAGTAGGAGCCACCCCCTGCGGCGGGACATTGTTGTTGCTGTTGCTGCTGCTGCTGCTGCAACAAWGTTCCTACCCTACTCGGGGACAGCAGCTCCCTAGAAGGGACCCTGGGGCTAAAAGAGCCATCTGCTTAAACTTCACGGAGCAGGAGGCCTCAGTTCACAGCTGGAGAGACTGAGGCTTAGGTCCCAGGAAGCACAGGTGCTGGGCCTTTCAGCTAAAAGCCCAGAGCCCTCTTTTGGAGACCATGCAGCCACTTCTCAGTTGGGTGGCCTTGGACAGGCCATCCACCTCTCTGAGCCTCAGTTTGTTGATTCTGTAAAATGGGTACCTGAGGTTCCTGCCCAAGTGGCTGCTGGTAGCTTCTGTAAATATCCTTCTTTCCACTGGATTGGGGCATGGCCCGGGTTCTCAGTGGCTGATTCCTGCTGTTGACAGGCTGTTTTGCAAGTGTTCCCTGAAGAGTCATCTGAGGCAGCTGAGAGATAGGTGAGTCCTCTGCCAGGCTCCTTCCCCCAGGCCTTCACCTCCTCAACGTCTTCACTTCTAACACTCCGTTCTCCAGGTTTTGGGGCCTCCCATCTGCCAGTTTTCTGTTTCTAATGATGCAGTATCTCAAAGTTATCAAGAAGAGGGCCTGGGTGCTGGCCTAGCACAGGTGGGTCCCTGGGTTCGATCCTTAGCACCACATGAAAATAAATGAATAAAAATAAAGGCTTTGTTATCAAGAAGAGGTTTGTTTGGCTCCAGTTGTGGGGGTATGTGGTAGAGAGCTGCGGCTGGGACGGCCACCTGGCCGGCAGGGTCCTGAGGACAACCAGTGCCGAGACCCCCAAGTGGGYATCGACATCTCTTCTGGTTTCTCTCTCATGGGGTCCCATACTGACTACCCTAACCGTGTCACCTCCMAGGCCCTGCCTCTTAACACCAGGCTCAGACCAAGGTTCTGCCCTTTACTAGCTCAGGATGGAACTGAATTTAGATGCCTGAAGGCTTTGGGGGACACTCATTGAATCTAGCCACAGCTCTGTCACCCTCAGGACCCCAGGGTTCCAGGCCGCATGGACCTGGGCTGTGGCTTCTGCAGAGCCTCCTGTGTTGGGTTTGCACAGTTCTTTATCCGCCCCTTGAGTTGGCTTAGGATGCCTCACACAGCTGGGGGGCGGCTTCCAGAGCTCTTAGCTTACGCCTGAAAGTTCAGAGTGTGCTTTTCCCTGGTGGCAAACCCATTTAACCAAACTTCTAAGATGTCTTCTAGTTGATTTCCTCCCTCAGCGCCGGGACTGAACCCAGGGCCTCGTGCTGCCAGGCAAGTGCTGGGCCACAGAGCTTCACCCCCAGCCACAGTCTATCCCGAGTCCTCCCAAGGGATAGTGTGAGGCTTAAGACAGATCCCTGGAGTGACACACTTCCCCAGTCCCAGTGGGTGTCTGGCTCCTCCCTCTTTGCTCTCTCTGCACAGTTGCCACCTCCTGTGAGCAGTCCTCCCTGACTGCCCTGTCTCCAGGGGCAGCCTCCCCTCCCAGCACCTCTGTCCACAGGCCTTGTTTTACTGTCCCTGAGGGCCTGGCCCCCTGTGATGAGTCCTGGAGCAGGACGGGGCTTCGTGCCTGCTAGCTCCCCGGGTTGGTGGGTACAAATGTGACGGGACCTCTGGATCCACTGAGCTGCCGGAGAAGCCAGGGACAATCCCTGACAGTCCCTCTCTGGGCTCCTGACCATCTCCAGACAGTGAGTGTCGGTGGGGGGCTGGAGGGCCCTGTGTGCTTGAAGCCGGYGGTGTTCTCCCCTCCCCCTGGAAAGCATCCTGTTAGTGAAACTGAAGTTTGTGGACAGTTAATGGCTTCTTGCTTCCCCTGCAGCGGACTTAACTGGATCCCACGAGATTCCCACTGTTTTCCTCTCTGGCCAGAACAATTCTGAGCGGTTTTGAGGAAGTTCCCAATGGCGCTTGGGTTTTGCTGTTGGTGGCCACCRGGAGGCCAGCAGTGGGTCTGGACTGGACGTGAGTGGCCGGACGTGAGTGGCCGCTTCCTCGCCTCTCCTTTGTCCTGCCACTGGTTGGTTGGGGCTGGGCCTGGAGAAACACAGTGTGTGGGCCAATGAGTCTGGTGCAAGCTCCTGGTTGGCCCTTCAGCAGGCAGGAGAGGGGCAGGCAAGGTGGCCGGGGAAGGGGCAGGCATGGAGACAAATGGGCAGCTGATTTTCCTAGTGTCAATATTAGGATGTGACAATACAAAACACCCGCTGGGCACTGCAGGGCAAACCTGTTTTTCTGGGGATGAGAGAAAATTTGACACCCAGACAGAGAGGAAGTGCAGGGGAGGACTGAGTCTGCGGGGTTGGTAGAGGGGCCCTGTGATGGGAATAGTCAGATGAGAATGATTCCCCCCACACAAAAGAGGACATTTGCTGCCTGTTGGTGGCGCCTGAGTGGTGGCATATGCCTATAATCCCAGCTGCTCCAGAGGCTGAGACAGAAGGATTGCAAGTTTGAGGCCAGCCTCAGCGACTTAATAAGACCTTGTCTCAAGATAAAAAAAAGAACTGAGCCAGGCACAGTGGCACACGCCTGTATCCCAGCAGCTCAGGAGGCTGAGGCAGGAGAATYGAGAGTTCAAAGCCAGCCTCAGCAAAAGTGAGGTGCTAAGCAACTCAGTGAGACCCTGTCTCTAAATAAAATACAAAATAGGGCTGGGAGTGTGGCTCAGTGGTTGAGTGCCCCTGAGTTCAATCCCTGGTATATTTTTTTTTTTTTAAAGGGCTGGGCTATCCTGCCCTTCCGTATTTATCCTAAAGAATTAAAGTCAGCACATGCTATAGTGACACGTGCACACCTGTGTTTATAGCAGCACAGGTCACAACTGTAGGACCAGCCTTGGTGTCCGTCAGTGGATAATGGATGAAGAAAATGTGGATATATACACAATGGAGTTTTACTCAGCCACAAAGAAGAAGTAACTTATGTCATTTGTAGGAAAATGGAACTTGAATATTGTGTTTCAACTCAAAATAAGCCAAACTCAGAAAGTGAAGAGTTGTATGTTTTCTCCCCTGTGTGGATCTCAGAGAGGAAAAAAGAAAACAAAGGTGTGGGGATCTCATAAAAAACTGAAAGAAGATCAGTAGAGGAAAGGGGAAATGTGGGGAATGATATTGGCCAAACTATATTGTCATGTTGCAATATGTGTGAATATTTAACAGTGGATCCCACTACTATTATGTTTTTGTTTTTGTTTTTTTAGAGACAGGGCCTCACTAAGTTACTGAAACTGGCTTTGAACTTGTGATCCTCCTGCCTCAGCCTCCTAGGCGCGCACCACTGCACCTGGCTCACTATTAATATAAACTATAATGTACCAATTAAAAATATGGGGGAAAAATAGAAAGGGCTGGGAATGTAGCTCAGTGGGAAGTGCCCCTGGGTTCAATCCCCAGCACCAAAAATATAAAATATAAAATAGATTTAGAGGGGCTGGGTTGTAGCTTGGTTGTATGAAAACACCTGGGTTCAGTCCCTGGTACTGCAAAAAAATAAGTGACGCTCAGTGTGTGCGTCTGGAGCTGGGGCTGCAAGGCCCTATCTTGAGGGCAAAGCCAGCTGCTGGGTTTGGAGGAGACTAAAGTGGCCCCTGTCCAGGCCATGAGGACGGTGACCTTGCTGTTCTGGGCCGCTGGCCTGCCGTGGGTGCTCCTCAGGGCTGCGTTTGCCAGGGGACGCTCCCTCCTGCCCTTCACAGAAGGTGAGCCTGAGGCGGGACATGTGTCCCGGGTGTGTGTCCTTCCAGGGCCTCCAGGCGGGAGTTCCTGTCCCTGTGAGCTGGCACGCTCCGTCCCCTCCCTCACTCTTGTTGCTTTGCAGAGAACGGTCTCCCTCTGCCAAGTCCTTGTTCTGCAGGGCGGGGCAGGCTCCCACTGCTGGCAGACAGACAGGTAGACATTCACTGGGGCCGCCCAGGCTAAGAGCCTGATGCAGGTCTGGGACGAAGAGACTTCTGGCCACTCAGGTACCAGCAGGGCCCCTAATCCCTGTGGGRCGTGGCATTACAGGCGTGCGCCACTGCGCCTGGCCCACTATTGAGGTACAACTGTCAGGCACCAATGAAAAATATGGGGAAAGACGAGAGAGGGCTGGGGATGTAGCTCAGTGGGAAGAGCCCCTGGGTTCAATCCCCAGCACCAAAAATATAAAACGAAATAGATTTCAAGGGGCTGGGAGGCAAAGGTGTGCAGGTGAGACCCAGGACCGTCCCCACTCGGTGACCCCGACATTTCAGTACCTGCTCCCGCAACTTAAAACTGCAGACCCAGGTGGGGTCCTCTGCCAAGTCCCACTGCCCATCTCTGATGGGGAAGAAGAGCAGAGTTCCCCTTTCCTGGGGTCACTTCAGACTCTCAAGATGACTATGAATTTGGCCTCTTTCCTCGACAACCTGGAGGGACCTGAGGGCCTGCACAAGTTGGGTGAGTGCCCTTCCTCTGGGCCATTTTCCTAGAGGTTGGAGCCTGAAGGACACAGAACATCATCTCACTAGGCTCTTGTTTCAATAAATGAAGGAGGAGGCACCCGCTGGGCTAGGGTATTTGTCRTAAATCACTGGGCTGTGCTGGCCCAGGCGTCCAGCTGTCCTGGTTGTCCCTGGGCAGAACTAGTGGCTTCCCACCAAGAACCCACCTCAGGTCCTTTCAGAAGGGATCCACTCACCGTTTCCTTCCAGATCTTTCTCCACGCCTTTCCCTTCTTAGACAGAGGACTCACGTGACCAGTGAGGGACATGGCCGTGTGCACCTGGCCTCCCTGAGGGATGGAGGCCTGCCTTCCCCTCCCAGCCCCTCAGCCCCTCGGGAAGATGCGCCGACGCTGATTTGCTTGGTGTCGGTKTCCTTGTTGGTGGCACCGCGGGCTTCGCTGGTGTTTGTGTCTTCCCTCCGGCTGCCGTGGCCACCTCAAAAGGTCTGGGTCACAGAGGAGGCAGCCAGGKCACAGGGCAGTTAGGCCAGAGCCCGAGTGCCTGAGCCCCATGTCGTGTGCACCAGAGGCGTCACTGTGCCTTGAATCCAGTGCACACAGTAGCATTGCAGGGCTCGGGAGGAGACTTTTGGGGGGTCAAGGCTGGGTCCTAGCCACGTTGCTGGGCCAAGGTGCTTTGGAGGTGGCGCGATGGGTGGCCCTCCCGAGTCCCCCATCCTGACACAGGGTGGACCTCTTCTGGGGAGGACTGGAAACTGGAGTTGGAAGTTGAAAGGAAACAAGGTGTCCATGAGCATCCCCACTGTGGGGGGTCAAGGGAGGGCTGCAGGGTGGCCAGGCCAGATGGCCGCACCTCCCAGGGCCTCTCCCAACCACCGCTTCCAAGTTCCTGAATGCGGCCTACCCCGGCACAGAACTTCCTTTCTCTCCTCCCTTCCTCTCTTCCTTCCTTTTCTCTGTCTGTGAGCCCTGTCCCCTCCCAGACAGGCTGCAGGGGACACTGCAGGTGCCTGCTAGAGGAGACTGGAGTGGGGTGGGAGGGGGCTGGCCTTTGTTCCCTAAAATAAACCTTCCAGGCAAACAGCTCTGCTGGAGATGAATTCAAGCCATTAACAAATAAATCTTTTGTGTCCCAGTAGCCAGCCACGTGCATTCCTAAAAAGTMAAGCTCACAAAAGCAGATATGGTAAAAATTCAAAGTCCCCCCCTTCCTGTTTTGAGAGACGGGCCGCGCATCCCGGCTTTGCTTATACCAGGGCCTGATGGAGTCCTCTGCACAGGGAGAAGAAGCCTGTGCTGCCCTCTCTTCTGCCCCTGGGCTGCCTCGCCATCTCCCTCCATGGTCTGGGCACAGCCCGCACCTTCTTTCTCAGGGCTGCTAGGAACGTGCCGGGTGTGAACAGGATACAGGACTCGTTCCTAGGAACCAGAGTGTGTGAGGCAGGCTACTGGTTGTCAGGTTGACCTCCAGGGAGGTGGGAACTTGCCTGTTCACTCTGGAGCTTGGGACCCTGGCTACTTGGGGGTCCTCCCATCCCCTTCCAAGTCACCCAGGTTTTAAGGAGCCAGGGTGGCAGACGGGGTGACAGTGTACATGGGGTGGGGGTGGCTCAGGTCTGTCTATCTGTCTGTGAGTTCTGATTTTCCAGCTCCTCTCAGGCACTTGGTGGCACTGCAGCCTCATGGTCCAGGGCCAGGCTTGGGGGGCGTTTTGCAGGGAGCTCTGGTGGAGAAGAACTGCGCCCTTCTGCTCTCGGTTTCTGAATCTGTGAGGGGGGAAGCAGCAGGTCCTCCTCTGGGCTTTGATGGAACTGGTGGGTGTCGTCTGGGGTCTCCACCAGAGCTCCATCCCCGAACACCTGCTGGGGGCTGCCCAGGACAGATCTGCACTCGCTGCGGGGAGGGGGAGGGTGTCCCCCCATTTCCCAGATGAGCCAGTGGCAGAACTGGTGACCAAGTGCAGGCTGCTTTGTCGGCCCTCCCCGCCCCTCCAGCCCCTTGGTACCCTCGAGGCTGTGGGTGTGGCCCTCTCATGGCACCCAGCCTCCCGCAGGTAAAATGGGGCTCTCAACTGGAGGTGGACTTTGTTTGTAGGAGGCTCAGTATGGGCGGCAGCCTGGGTGGGGACCTGGGCAGGTGTGTCTTCTTTCACCAAAGAAGAGTTTTCAACAACTCATTTGCAAATTTTCAGGGGGGAAAAAAAAACAGGTGCTAAAACTTAGTCCAGTTTCCTGGATCTGCAGATGTTGTGACCTCACGCTGGGTCCCCTGGGAAGGCTATGCTCTCCTTTATTCACTCAACAAACACAAGCCTGCTCAGCCCGAAACTGAACTGGGGGCCAAAGATTCAAGTGATACTTCCTGTTAGTCACTGGCTCTGTATCGGGCCCACTGACACGGATACTGTCAGTCACATGCCATGGCGCTCACCCGTGATCCCAGCTACTTGGGAGGCTGAGGCAGGAGAATCTAAAGTTTGAGGCCAGCCTGGGCAACTTAGGGAGACCCTGTCTATAAATAAGAAATAAAAAGTGCTGGGAATGTAGCTCAGTGGCAAAGTGCCTCTGGGTTCAATACCCTGAACTGCAAAAGGTGGTGGGTAAGGCCCTCTGTTGGGTGTTTCATGAGCTAATTCGTAGCCACGGCTTCCTTCTCACTCCTTGTCTGACCACAGTGGGTGCTCAGACCCCAGCCAGGATTCTCCAGGAGGCACGTCATCCCCCTTTAGCAATAGATAGGGAAACGGGCCCAGGACAGGAGGGCTGAGGGGTGGGATGGGGGTGTGAGCCCAGGGTGAGACGGTGGCTGTCACAGGCCCCCTCAGAAGGGAGGCCAGTGGGTCAGGAAGGGTCTGGAAGGAAGGCAGACAGTGGGCGACAGATCCGCCCCCTGGGGCAGTGGGTGGCCGCCCTGGCAGACCCACCTGCTCTCTGCGGACTCCTGACAACAGCGAACCTTCCATCAGGTCCCGCAGGGGGTCTGGGGATGTCTGCTACGTAGGGGGATGACAGGAGAGTGGGTCAAGGTCAAGGCCATGTGTCCAGCATGGGGCTGACTACTGTGGTGCTTGCCCACAGGGCAGGGAAGAGGCTGGGACTTAGGGTCTCCAGGAATATGTATTCTGGGGAGGGGGCAGGGGGAATCGGGGAGGGGAGAGCAGGGGGGAGGGGGGACAGCAGGGGGAGGGGGGACAGCAGGCCTCTGAAGTCACTTGGAGGTTTCTGGAGGCTGGGGGGAGGCCAATGCAAATGAGGGCTGGAGCTGTTTTCCCAGGGAAATGGCCATTTGCATGGTCACCCCCCTTCCACCTGGAGCTTGGGGGCAGCCGGGGCTCTGGACATATTCCTTAAAGGCCACTGAACACACGCGTACTCTCTGTGCTTCTCGTCTGTCCAACCCAGACCACCTCTGCCCTGAAAAGCGGTCCACCTCTGTTTATCTGGGCCTTTTATGTCCTTTAATGGGCTTTAAAATTTTTCTGCCTAAAAAGTTTTATGCGTCCTCAATTAGATTAATCTCCGACCTAAAACCTGTTTCTCCGTCCTCCTGGTGGAGATGTCTTATTTTCGGGTCGGCGTGTGGGAGCGCTGTGGACTGTTGTGCCCAGATCTTGAGTCAGTGACTGCAGACTCCATGGTGCCGTCAGCGGGTGCCCCTGGCTCTCCCTGGCTCCCTGCATTAGTGCTCCTGTCTGTGAACCTGGCACCCCTGGCCTGTCACTCGTGGTGTCATTTTTCCCACTCGGCTGCTGAAGTTGGAGTCCTGCAGGCCACGCTGTGTGACCAGAGCCCGTGGGCCTGGGTGGCTCCGGACCTGTCCCCTTCTGCCTTGGGTGTGAGCGTGGCAGCCCCTCCCCTCTTCCCGCCTTTTGAACGAGCTGAAGGGAATGGACAGAGAGGCCTGCGTTTGGCCTCAGGCATCCCCAGGGGGCCAGGGGCCAAGGATGGTGTCCTCATCCAAAGGGGCCTCTGGGCTGCTGGCCAGTGTCATGGGCGGCTTCTGTGAAGTCCACGTTTGGCCAGGGAAAGGGGTTTTGCCACATCCTGTGCAGAGGTGCAAGATCTGAATGAAACAGTGGTGAAGGTCGTCTCTGGCCATCTGGTCCCCGAGAGTGGCTTCAAGCCACGGCGGCTTTGTCCCCCCAAGCGCTTTCTAGAGCGCTGTTGGACACCTTTGCCCTGCAGATGGTCTCCGCGTCCCTCGCTGGTTTCAACTGGCCGAGCTCTAGCCGTGTGCACCTGGGACAGAACCTGTGTGGGGTACACAGAGGCCACTGGGGACCCTCCCAGCCTCCTGCCCAAGGGTCTGGGGGCTGCTCCAACCCAGTGACTGTCAACGCCTTGCCTGCAGGTGTGCCCCGCAGGTGTGGCCCTGCCCTGGCGCTGAGGGACCTGGCAGACCTGACTCTGCCGCGGGCGAAGGTGTTGCCTGACAGGTGCAGGTGCCAATGCGGGGGGGGGGGGGGGGGGGGGGGGGGGGGGGGGGGGGGGGGGGGGGGTGGGGGGTGGGGGGGGGCCTTTGTGGCAGCTGTGTGCCGTGCGCCTGTCGCCTCCAGCCGGCCCCTGCTGCGTGTCAGACTCCCTCTGGGTCAGGTGGAAAGCTCTCCGTCTTCCTCTTGGGAAACTGAAACACTGTCTCTAGTGACAGAAATTCTGGGCATTTCTGCTGCTTTGTCTCGTTTTTTTTTGGTACCAGGGATTAAACCCGGGGTGTTTAACCACCGGGCCACACCCCCAGCCCCTTTTCATCTTTGTACTTAGAGACAGGGTCTCCTAAGTTGCTCAGGGGCCTCGCTGAGTTGCTGAGGCTGGCTTTGCTCTTGTGATCCTCCTCCCTCCGCCTCCTGGGCAGCCTGGCTGACTGGTGTGCACCCCACCCCGGCCAGGGCGGGGGACTGTTGTGTTTCTCCAGTCCTCCAGGCCTAAGACACGCCACACCCCATGCCTGTCGGTCACCACGTGCTCCCCTCTCCTGGGCTGCTTGTGTGGGGTGCCTGTGGAGATTCACTGTCTACATCAGTCCTCAGACACCCAGAGGGTCCCAAACTAAGGGCTCTGCTCTGACCCCTGCCCAGTGAGTGCTGCTGTTCCAGCTTCTGCCTTCCCCGTGTCACCCAGAGCAAGGAGGGAGCACTCTTTGTGTTTGGCCTCAGGCATCCCCAGCGGTCCAGGCGTTCAGGGGTCCAGTTGCCATGTGCATGGAGCCTGCAGTCTGAGGAACATCAATCCATGTGGCAGAGGGGGCAGGAGACTAGAGCCTCTATCCCTTCTTAGCTGAGTCATTGTCCCGGACCGGCAGGACACATCAATGACGGGCGGCCAACCTAGGTGGGGAGGAATGAAGGGACAAGAGACACGAGGGATGACAGCAAGACAGGAGTTCTGATCAAGCTGCAAACTTTTATTGTTCACACAGGGGTATTTATATGCTGGGGATGGGGAAAGTCTCCAATCAGCAGTTGCTGGATGTGGGTGGTAAAACTGCCAGCTGCAGGATGTCTGATGATCCTGATAACCGCAGGTTGTTTCAGGAACAGGTAGCTGCAGGATGTCTCCCAGGGGGCTGTTTCTCGTAAATGTCAGGCTATTCTTTGAAGGAGAGTTTCCTTCTAGCCCCTGACACGTCATGAACTCTGTGTGTGTGTGTGTGTGTGTGGTGTATGTGTGTGTGTATGTGGTGTATGTGTATGTGTGTGTATATGTGTGTGTGTGTCTGTGTGTGTTTACTGGGGATTGAACCCAGGGTGCTCTGTTCTTGAGTTACATCCTCAGCCCTTTCTTATTTTGAGATGATCTTGCTAAATTGCTGAGGCTGGCCTCAAACTTGTGATCCTCCTGCCTCAGTCTCCCAAATCTGGGGTTAAAGGTGTGCACCACCACACCCTGCTCTGAGTCATGAACTTTTCCAATCTCCGGTTCTTCTTTGAACCAAAAAGTCAAAGGAGAGAGTGGGAAGGTGCTCTGTGAGCTCTCTAGGGCCAGCAGATGTGAGGAATTAATTTATTATTTTTGTTATTGTAAGAAAATAACAGGATGAGCATCTGCAGTCTGAGAACTTGAAATCCAGAATGCTCCAAAACTCAACCCTTGGGCACCAGTGTGACTCCACAAGTCAGCCCACACAAGCTTTGCCCCATGCACAACATTTTGTGTAAAATCAACTTCAGCCTATGTGCATAAGGTATACATGAAAAAAGAACCAATCTCTTGATTTGCCTTGGGTGCTAGCTCCAAGATACCTCATTACATATATGCAAATGTTCCAAATCTGAAAGAAAAACAAATCCCAAATCTGAAACATTTTGGCCCTTCGCATTTTGGATAAAGTTTGATCTGCAGGAAGGTCATGGGGGGTACCAGCTCCTCAGAGGGCTTGAAAGGGATTCCTTCACCCCTCCTCCCAACAGCCCAAGGAGTGCCATTCAAGCACCCCACCCAATACTGCAATTTTTGTCTTGGGCACAGAGGGGCTGACCGTGACTGTCACTCTTGCAGCTGCTCCACGAGGCCGTAGGCTCTGCTTTCTCCTCTTCCGCTCTCCTGGGCTGGCTGCTGCAGCGCCAGCCCTCGCTCCTATGTTCAAGCAGCAGAACCCGGAGCTGCCCTGGCTGGGTTGGCTCCCTTTCTTTCAAGCCCTGCCTCCCACTTCTCAGTGGCCAGGCTGGGTCACGGGGCCAGCACTGGCTACAAGGGACAGACGCTGCAGAGGGAGGCCCTGCAGGGTTGTGGTGGCCTGGGGGAGTGCGTGTGCGGGGCCACTTGGGGGGAGTGGGAGTGCTTGAGCTGGCCAAGGGCTGAAGAGCAGCCCCGCCAGGGGAGCTGGGGGGAGGTTGTGAAACTGCGTGGAGGACTGGTTTAGAGAAGGCCTGGAGCTGTGCGCCCTGGTACACGCCTGTTACCCCAGCGGCTCAGGAGGCTGAGGCAGGAGGATCACGAGTTCAATATCAGCCTCAGCAAAGACTGAGGCACTGAGCAACTCGGAGGACCCAGTAGTGGAAGAAAAGGCCCGGAAGCCGGGGCAGGGTCCCTGTGAGGTGGGAGTGTCATCTACTCCTGGTTCATTTGCTTTTATTGCTCAGAGAGACAGCAGACTTCAAAAAGCAGGTGTCCATCCCAACAGAGGGACAGCAGGTGCCTGGGTTTTCCAGCTGTGGGAGCTGCTGGGGGAGGCTGCTGGTGACCTTAGCAGATCAGAAGGGGAGGGGGAGGAGGCCTGGGAGGGAGTCCAGCAGGGACAGGAAGGCAGGACCCTTTTCCTCCCCTTTCTGAGGACCGCAGCCTGGCCCTCCTAACAGAAGTCGGGTCAGCAGGAGGACAGCATGTATTCGTCTTTTCAGGGTGGAGACAAATGACACGGGGCCTTCGGACATGAAGGCCCAAGCCCCAGGCAGGGCTGGCACTGCAGCTCCGGGGCACTTAGCTGACCTGCCTGTGCCTAGGCCCAACCCCCAGCCCCCAGAGCCAAAGTCAAAGCCAAGAACCCACAGGAAACTCCATGTTGACGCCTGGGCCTGGGGTGGACAGCCGGGCAGAGCAGGGGTGGACACAGGGTACAGTCTCTGGGCTCTCATGGCAGCCGATCCAGGAGACCTAGCGGGCTCTGTGTGGCAGTCCTTCCTCACAGACGTAAGGTCTTTAGGGGACACAGCCACCTTCCCAGGTCTCGGGGCTGCTTTGGGGGAGGGCATTCTGATTTCCACGACTGGAAAAGGAACTGAGTTCCTGTGGCTCTCTAGGGGGCAGGAGGAGGCAGGAGGCCAGACACCAGGCTTCCGCAGCTGCCCCCGAGGCCTGGGGCTCCGAGCACTCAGTAGGCCAGAGCGCCTGCCTTGGGACCTGGGGCTCCGAGCCCTGGCAGTTCTAGGGGCCGGTGACACTGTCTCCTTCCCCAGAGAAGAGATGTCAGAGGCCAGACCCGTCTCCAGGAGCCTCCTCCGGTACAGACCCGGACCTCTGCTGGCTGCAGGTGCTTCCTGCCTGACCCCTCCCGCGGGAGAGGAGGTCCTCCGTCCYGGGGGACGCCTGCACCTCAGGGTTCAGGGCAGGTAGGTCCCAAGGGCCCACTGGTCGGTGACCTTTGGGGATGGGTTGGAAGAGCAGGCACCTGTGAGGCAGGGACGCTCCCTAGGTAGTGAGTGATGTCTCCGCACCCCGCCGCCACTGAGGTCCCCTGTGCTCATCCCCACCCACAGAAGGACCCTTTGGCACCCAGCATGTCCAGGTCCCACGATGGACTGTGGCGCTGGCCAGGAGGCCTGCTGRACCTGCCTCAAGGTGCCCCAGCCGAGCAGCCCCCAGCCCTGGCAGTTAGGGCAGTGATTTGTTAAGGAACCACTGAGGCTGGAAGAGGGGCACTCCTGGGACTGACACGGCCTCCAGGGTCTCAGGACCAGCCTTGCCAGCCCAGCTGGGTCCAGCGTCCGCATCTGCCAGGCTCATGGGCTCCCCCAGCAGGGGGCGCTGCAGCCTTACCTCCCAGGAACTGATGAGGCACTGAGGCTCCGCCCCTCAGTCACCTCCCCCAAGCTGGAGGACAGCCACTGCCAGGCACAGGCAGGAGTTCAGCTCCAGGGTTCTGGATGTTTCCTCTTGCTCCAAGGTTCTTATTAGTCATCAAGATCCTGAACTTAGGGATCCGGCTACTCAGATGCATCACGTTAGCAGGACAGAAGTGGGAGCTCGCCCTCCAGGAGAACAGACCGGGGGACGTTAGACAGGTCATCAGGTGGTGCAGGTGGCCAGGGTCAGGTGGATCTGCCTGGGACTTCCAGGCAGAGCTCCTGAATCACCAGGGTGGGATGTGGGCCAAGCCTGGGGAGAAGGGTGCACCCTGAAGGGGACTGGTTTTTAGTCTGAGCTGTGCACATGCATGACGCAGGCTTGCACCTGCCTGTACTATTTCAGTCAAGAATTTGGTTTAGAGAGCGGAGGGCCCAGGCAGGGGACTATTAGAAAGGGACAATGGTATCGGGGTGGTTTCAGCATTGGGGACCAGGGGAGAGGTCTCTGAGCCCCTAGTCCAAGGAGGAGGGTAAGTTGAAGTCCCGGTGGGAAGCCAGCCTCAGCAATTGAGGGGGTCTCAAGGCACCCCCAAACCTGTCCATCCATGCTGGCCACTGTTATTCACCAAAACCCATGAGCTGCACCCTGCTGGGGCTTTCCGGGGACACTCAGAGTGGGGACTGACATTCGGGGTGTTCAGCATTCTCGGGAGCTGGGGGGCGGGAGCAGGCCCCCCGGGCAGCCCACTTACTGACACTGGCCACCCACCCCTGGAGGTGGATTTTAAAGCAGTGTGACTTCAGAGTCTGCCTGTAGATGGAGGGACGCAGGAAAGTTTGCTGCTGGTCCCAAATCTGACCCCTGCTCTTGCCTGGCTCTGGGCTACTCCAGTACCACATCCTGCCCACCTGTTCCCTCTCCACAGTCACCAGGTGGCCCTGCGACTGGCCTGCATTGGGGATGAGATGGATCTGTGTTTTCGGGGCCTCCAACTGGCCCAGCTGCCTGGGATGGCCATGCACAGGTAAGCAGCCCATGTCTTGCCCAGGACTTCACCTGGGGAGGGACCCTGGACAGGCAGGTAGAGGCCCAGAACCTAACACACGGCTGGACCCCAAGTTCTGGAAGGAAATGGCCTTGACACTCCCAAGCAGACCCCAAACCCTCTGCTTCCCTGCCTGTCCAGAGGCCCCTGGCTCTCTCTGACCTGCCCCTGCCTCTCCCGGCCTGGCAGAGCACCATTCAGAACCCCGCCCCCCGTTGGTCTTCATCCAGAGTCCTGAGTTGCGGGGCAGGGTAGGCTGCGTGGGCACCCAGGCCTGGCTCCTCRGCCGGCTCCCTGGGGAGGACAAGTGGGGCAGTAACTGGCCAAGGGCCTGCAGGGCACTGGCCGGCAGGTGGGAGGAACTAGGAGATGTGAACAAATCTATGAACCAGAAATCGCTGTGGGGAGACGGACACTGTCCTTCATGGGGTGCCAGGGGAAGCCCTGGTGTCAGTCGGGTGGGGAGGGGACAGGCCTCCACAGGGGCGGAGTCCCTGAAGCCTGCCCCGCTCCCCATGTCTTACAGCCTTGCTCTCAGCTACAGCCAGGCGAGAGTCACGGGTGTGCTCAGAAGCTTGACCCAGGGTCTCGCCAGCCTCAGGGAGAACATGTGGTTCTGGAGACCCGCGGCCCCCAGAACCCGGGTAAGAGCCGAGAGGCTGCAGGCGCAGCTGGCCCCCTGCCCGTGGGAGTGGCCTGGAGACCCCTGGACGCACCCCTGGTGTGCTACAGGCGCCCCCTCCCTGTCACCTTAGGTTTCACCTGTTTCCACACCTCCCTGGCCCAGAGCCCCAGGAACCTTGGGCCCAGCTGACAGGACTGTGCTCCTGCCCCTCTGCCAGGAGAGCTGTCCTCTGGCAGATGCTGCCCCATCTCTGCCCCAACTCAGGGCCACTTCCTGGCTCCCCTGTCCCTGCTGAACGCCTGCCCTGTCTGACCTCACCCTGTCCTAGCCGCCCCGTTTCTGAGGTGAGGTCCCCTACCTTCTTGGGCCCTCACTGTCCTCTCTCGGTCCCCAGGTGCCTCCTGCCCGGGCCTGCCGGGAGCTGCTGCCYGTGCTGCTGCTGCTGGGCCTGTTGCTGAGCAGGGCCCTGTACCTGCGGCTCCAGTGAGGCCTGCGCGGGGCGGGGCTGGCCCTCGCCCTTGGAACCCATCCTGGAGKTGGCCGGCTCCTGGGGGTTCTGTCCTTTGGACAGTGGTGTTCCCCGATGAGATTTCCCTTTTTATATTTAAACTCAAGATAGTGCTGGGACACTGCTGAGGTTTTGTACTGGAGTTTCTGTTGTTTTTGTAAGAAATGAACTTACCGGACCTCTGGGGTGGTTTCCAGTTAACTGCCCATGTGGAGGCCTGGCWGGCCTGCTCTCCTCCTGACCCTGGCCCTCTCGGGGGGTAGCCTGTCACCGGGGAAGCCTTCCTCTCACGCAGGCTGGGGTATGGTAGGCAGCGGGGGGAGTGCTGGTCACACCCCTGTCTGTGGACCACAGCGGAATCTATTGGCCTAGATTTCTGAAGGGTAGAGGAGACAGAGTTCAATAAAAGGTTGGTTTCCAGCCAGTTTCTGGTCTTTCTGGTCCTGTCTGGGGCTCTGTGGCATCACCTTAGGCCCCTCTTTCCCTGGAGGCTGAGCTTTGTGGCAGGAGGAGGGGTGGCCTTATCCTTGCCTCCTCCTTGTACCTGAGGACCCCACTGCTGCCTCCGGTGCTCAGAATGTGTCCCCCTCCCGAGTGGTGCCTGAGATGCACTGTTGGGATCATTTTGGGGGCTCTCCAGGTCTCACAGTGGGGATGTCGGTCATCTCTGCACCCTGTCCACTTCCTGGGGGTGCTKCAGCCAGCAGGGCTCTGTGGGCAAGTAGGACCTGGGCCAAGGGTTGGGGGCGGCTTCCCACTATTTGGACTAGATACCTGCCATGGTCCCTGGTCCAGGCTCCACCAGGGTCCCCTCCCACTAACATTCCCAGGCTGCACTGAGCCAGACCGCGGCCCTCCAGCAGTGCTCCCAGACACCCTCGTCCACTCCAGGCCCCTTCTGTCCCCTCCTGCCCGGGCCTGGAGGGCCTCCCTGCACACCCCTGCAAGCCCTTCCAGCAGAGGCCCCTGACGGCACCCCCGGGCCCTCCAACCCCCACCTRCTGTGTGGGCCTCCTCTGCAGAGCCTCAGAACTTCCCCAGATGAGCCCCGTTCCCCAGATCCCTGCACCTGCACCACAGCGTCTGCCTACAGTTCCAGCCAGGGCACGCCTGTCCCCGCAAGGGTAGAGACTTGGCAGTGCGCCCGGGACTCTCCCAGTGTGGATGTGGACACCCCGGGGAATGGGAGCCTGCTGGAGTCCGCATGGCTAGGCCGTGGAAGGCCAGCCCTGACCACCGCCCCGCAGAGGCTTCCTCCTRAAGTTGAGGGACTTGGCTGGGCGCCTGCGCCTTTTCCTGGAGGAGCCAGGAGCTCTTCCAAGGAGACGGGAAGCTGCTTTTGCTGAAGGCGGTGGCCCTGGCTGCTTCTCTGTGCAGGAATTGGGGACACTGACCTTGCCCCAGGGATTTGCAGGCGTCCCACACTGGGGTGCTGTTGTGCCAGGCCCTCACAGGTTCTGGGGGGTGTGGTGCAGACAGTGACCTGCTTCAGATCTAAATAAAATGCACATGTAAATAAGCCACAGAGGGGACTATGGCTGTGGCTCAGGGGCGGAGTGCTTGCCTAGCACACGTGAGGCACTGGGTTCCATTCTCAGCACCACATAAAAATCAATAAATAAAGACATCTGTGCATCTATAACTACAAAAATAAATAAATAAATAAATAGAAGCCACTAAAGGCTTCAGGGACATGAAGGAGACCAGGGAGATGCCTGCAGGGATGAGTGGGACCACGCAGGGAAGGCCTCCAGCGGAAGAGCTGGCCCTGGAAAGGCGGTGGCATAGGGTGACTGATGGAGGAGACCCGCTGTGACTTCTCCAGGGTGATAGGGACCTGGGGTAGCTGATCCTAGACTTCCCTGAAGGAGGAAATGGGATGGGAAGGGGCCTCTTGGGCCGGTTCATATCACAGCATCTCCCACAGACCCTCCGAGGACAGGGACCTGCTGAGCCTCTGACACAGGCATGTGGCTGCAGCCTCTCACCAACGCAGCTGTGACCCTGGGCTGGCACCTTGGTGCTCATGCCAGGCAGTGCACCCACCAGAGGGCAAGAGGCAGTGCCCAGGAGGCTGCCTGCGAGGACTGCCCCCTTCACAGGCCAGCTGCCGCCTGCACATCTGGCTTCAGGCTGCTTCCACCCATCCCTGGCTGCAGCAGGGCCCAGCAGTCTTCACTGTCCCCAAGCCCTGGGACACTGCAAGA